AGATAAACCAATGATTCATAATGTTGGCAACATTTGCATCTCCTAATATGTGTTATTTTTTTGATATATGATGATGTACTGTCTCTTTATCGAGTGTGTGAATGCACTTCTGCCATTATGGCTTGGGCTGAATCAGTAGGAGGGTTTTGTCCTAAAACGGTCCATTTCCTTGTTTGTGAACCACTTCCAAGTAAATCGTTATTTTATTTTTATTTTATTCCAGCAGCACTGGCTATAATTCAACTTCTCGTGTCACGTGCATGCGGGGTGGTTTTGTTCACTGCTGAAAACTTAAAAACACGAGGCCTCTTGTTGGATTTCATATTTTGGGTGAATCTGCGCGAGCCCTGTAGCACTGCTGTGCGCGCTCTCCAAACAGTCCCTCGGATCATGCAGAGGTCAGTGGAGGATGATGAATTCAAGTTATGATACATTACTGTACGACGGATCGACTTAATCCCCCAATTAGGGCAAGTTCTCCCATTCAGAGTCATTTATTCTGCGTGATGCATGGCCCACTTTTTCCTGCTCTTATAATTCATATTCTTATCAGTTCTTAAAATCTGGAATCATTTTTAAAAGTGCGTTCTCGTGTGAAATAATTAGATTTTTTTTTAAAGGACTCACTCTCACTGTATGAAAGTGCAGGAAGAAATCGAGCCCGTCACCAGATGACTGTTTAAACTGCGCTTTTTTAAAATTTAAATTGTACTTTCTTAATTCCCCACATTGTTCTTGCTCTTCCTATATGCACACGCACGCATAGCGTCTGAATAGACTCCATCAATATTTAGATGTTTGCGCGGGTTGCGGCAACAAGTACCCCCCCCCACCCCCCCCACCCCACCCCCCGCACAGTGTGCAAAAGTGCTCGCGCTAACGAAGCCATCGCAGCTCGCGCTAACTAGACTGCGAGATCAAATGAAGAGAAGAGAGATCTCCGATGAAAAGACACCCAATGAGCGCGGCTCGCTGATTCATTCATGCAGCTGCATTGAGACCAAGGCCAACAGGCGTATCACACGCTGAAAGGGGGCTGCTATTCAGGGTGCAGGTGTGAAGTATGTGGCACATTCTGCCATAAAATCCGACTATGTAGAAATCCTTGTTCAGGATCCTAGTGGGCTACTGAAATCTGCAGTGTGGTGGTGGAGAGGAGGGGGGGGGTCCTCAGGATAGTGACTCGTGCAGCTCTTTTAAGATAAAAGTGTCCTCTTCGGTATCGTATAGTTAGGGCTGGCTCAGGTTAGCCCCGACCAGCCCTTCGTTAAGATGCTATATAGGTCTAGACTGCCAGGAGACTTCTTAGGACACACCCAGCTCCTCTCACACTCTCACTCCTTCTCCTTCTACAAGAATCCACGTTTTTATTAACGCACGTCACTAATTTAGCTTCTTTCCTGGAGCTGTTTGTGCTTTCTTGCCTCGCAGCTCTCCGTGGACCTAGTTCCGTTCGGACCCTGGTCCTGACCCCCGTCTGGCCCCGCGGACACCTACCGCTCCTAACACCCATTTCTATTGCTGTAAACATCAATTGTTAATAATAATTAATTAATTTGTGCTTTCTCGCCACATCATGGTTCAATCCCTGTTCCTGTGGCCCCGCTGACACCTGCTGCTGCTATCATCATCAATATCATTATTTAAAATATTAATCATATTACTATTACTGCCATCATAAACCAACATTACCCTTTACTAGAGTATTTGTGCTTTCCCTACCCACAGGCTTCTGTGGATGGTGGTTCTGTCTGATGGTTGCAGTGGTCCTGTCGTGCACCGGGCTTAGTATTATTTGAATCATTTTTATTATAGGAATTGAATGTATTGACCATCCATATAGTCTGTGCAACCCGGGAGAGGGATCCTTCCTCTGACGTTCTCCCTATAAGGTTTCTTCCCCTTTTTTCTCCATGAAAGGGCTTTCCCATTTTTGGGGGAGTTTTTCCTGTGCAGATGTAAGAGTTTCGGGACAGAGGATGTCGCATGTGTTAGGCAAATATGTCAATTGCGATTTTGGGCTATACAAAATAAAATGAATTGAATTGAAGGAAGCTCGTGGTGGACGCACGGCCACGTGATCGTGTAAATCCTCACCTGGGCGTTATCAGAATATATTATTCAATATTCATGACGACCTTTATGGTAGCTCTTAACTTTCATCTCTGGGTGGTTTGCCTTTTGACCTCGCGTTTTCACACCCGATCAAAGAAATGAAGTGCAATGCTCCTTTGCGAAGAGGTACAGCCCCCATTAGATGGTGACAACAACGAGAGATGCGTTTGGAGCTTCATGGAGCCCATACTCATCACAAACGAACTCTATTTACTTATCTATTCACTAAGATAAATATAGAAATCAATGCATCCTGTTCTTCGATCGGTGTTTGCAGGAGGGCGGCTCTGTAGCAACTCGGCATCCGGTCTGTCCCCCTTGGCTCTGTTGCACCTGTCCCTCCGCCTTTCTCTCTATTTTCCCGTGCCAATTTCGGCCACTTCATTCCTGATAATTATGACCTGGTTGGTGTCGGAGGTGCTGATGGCGGTGGTGTTGGAGCGTGGGGAGGGCGTGGAGGAAAAGGGGGAGTGATGAGGGGTGGTGTGTAGGAAAGAGGAAGGGGGGAGGCTTTTACTCCTAGACGGCTAATCCCCCTATTAAAAGGGTTTTGTTCAATAATGCCGGACAGTTTCCGGAAGTAGGATTACCGCCTCCATTATTTTCCAAAGAAATGATATTTCACACTCAAATGAGCCTTAGGTTGCAGCAGTGGTACAGAGAGGCCCTTGTGGGGAACGAAATGGATTCATATTCTTTATGTTGCTCTTTGGCGGTTCAAAACCTCCCCCTTCTTTTCTCTATTTTTAATATGGTCTCGTCGATATTTCATGTGTATTCCTTGTGAAACTGCAAAGCCTCAGCTTCCTGTTGTGGACTCCATGGCTCGCCTCTTTCTCTTTATCACGCACACTCACACACACTCACACACACACACACTCACTTGTTCTTGATATTCCTGACCCCATGGCTGATATCAGATCAGAGGTGGTCGCTCAGCTGAAGGCGCTGAACTGGATCAGATGTTAAAGGTCCTTCCTAGAACACTTGGAGGTGCCGATGGGACCCGGTGCGCGCGTGGTTGCATTAAAACCAGCGGTCGTCACAATCCGCCTCGGCCGCTCTTCACATGGCCACACTTCGCCACGAAGCCACGCACTTGTAACGAGCTTCATTCCTCATTGAGGACGTGACATTTGTTTTTGGGTGAAAGTCATAAATCACGAGGCGCAAAGGTCACTAAACGATGGCGGAGCAGACGCGTACGATCCTGCAGCGCTGTTGCGTGATTCGTATTTATCTCCGTCTCCGCCAAACGAATTCAAGGCAATTGGTTTCTTTTGATCTGCTCGTGCGGTGGAGATCAAATTCAGGAACACTTTGGCTGAAATAAATGACACACGCGGGCCTCGTGGTTTTAACCCTCTCACTTCTTTTCTTATTCCACCGAAACGACTCTTTAAATGCCGCCCATCCTTCACTTTCAGCGCTGAATGGAAAATGTTTTTTTTTTTTTTTTTACGCGACTCAGTTAGTTCTTGTCCATTTTGACGACTGGAACTAAAAGCTTTAGACGGCCCAATAGAGAGGAGGCCAACACAGAGGAGCCCAACAAATCGGTGACAAAAGGCTTTCCGTGTCATCAACGTCGTTCAGACGACCCAGAAGAATCCCTCTGATATCAACTCCCACTTCAAAGACTCCCACTTTCAATTGAGATCCAACTATCTTGTTGCTTTTTTTTCTCTCTCTTTCTTTACGCACAAGAGCTGGTGCCAAAAGAGGCATCATCATCATCATCATCATCACCATCATCTGCTTCTATGTGGTCGGTTTGTTGTTGATTCTTTTCTTTGAGCAGGGCCTCTTCCACGGAGAGAACTGTCATGCACTTAACCAAACTCCGTGAACGCATCAGAGAGTTGTAGCTGCGCGTTGTTTCCACCCACTCCCGCGTTGGTTAGTCAAGGCCGAGGGCGAAACACGTCTCCCCGGCATGTCAGGGCTCTCCAGGTTTGAAGGTTTTAGTGTGTTTTCGCTTCTCTCCAAGCTGATTCTGCACACTTGGTTTAATTTTATCAGACAGTGTGACTCATTTAAGAGTTTATTGTTGACCGAATATCGATCACGTCAGTCAGCCATGTGTTTTTTTTTTTTTTTTTACAAATGTCATCCAAGGAGGCAGAATATGATGATGGTTCAAATGTATCCATTGAGCAGCTCAGCCGTCTTGCAATGCAAGTCTATTATGATGTGGGACAACTGCCTTTTAGCGGCGTCTCCTTTGATTGTGGTAAAGTAGGCCCGGAGCAAAAGAATATATTTTTTCTTCTTTATACTGCCTCCGTCTGCAGTATAAAGGACATAGATTACCGTTTCCTACCCCATGGGAAGCAAATATTACATTCTTTAGAGCGGGCTTTTGAGTCCACGGACTTGGCCCCATATCATTTGAGTTTGACTCGGCTGTTGCTTTAGAAATCTTAATTCACCGTGAGGATTCACCGTCGTGAAGAAAAAAAATGGCTCTTTGTACAAAATGCTCTTTGAAGTCTGGATCAGAATATTGTAGCCCTTCATCTAAGGCTGACCACGTCTGCATCAAAACACAGGCTCAGCTGAGAAAGTAAGACTTTGCACACTTTTTCAAATCGGGCTTTTCACCGAAAGACTATTACGAAAATAACGTATTTCAAATGAAGGACTTTTCACCGTGTTTTATCGCTCTGAGCCTTGGCTGTTTTCTATCCGAGTTAGAAAAGTAGACGTAGTAAAAGCAGTGAATATATTACTGCTCGAGCTTCCCTAAGCTGTGATTAAAAGAGGGAATTGTTTATTTGAATGAAAATAGTATTTTATAAGACATGATAAAAATTGTGAACATTTATTCTTGTTGTTGTTGGCAAATGGCTGTAAATGACATATAAACCCGAATGGCTCAGCAGTTTTCACTTTAGTCATACAAGATTTATTTAAAATACCCACAAATTACAAGGCAATAAGGTACGCATTTTGAGTGCCGCATTTTGAGATTTTAAAAATGAGAAAAGAAATATTGACGACAATGATACAAAACCACGAATTTCCCACTTTGATAAAACATTTATAATTCCACGGTCGTATATCAAATACTGCAGGCTTATGAAACAGTTCAATTGTTGACCTTCTGCACAAATTAAAAAATCAACTGTAAACATAAACCGTTTGTACAAATAACTGCAGTAATTAGTAAAAAGCTGCTTGGAGACAGATCCTCACAAAACTATTAACATCAACACATCAAAACTTACAAAATGTACAAATGTACATTGTTGCCCCAATTGAAACATGCACTTTGGTTCCATCATACAAAATCCCTCAATTTCAGATTTAAAAATAAATAAAAACATATGTAAGTCACAAACTTGAATTTACAAAATATTTTTTACACCAACATGCCTAGTCTAAAATAATGAACCCCGCAGTCTAACGGATTTACACGACTCTCCACAAGTGGGCCGGTGGGCCGGCTGTACAGGCACCGAGCCAACCATTTTGAGTAGCTGAGGTTTGGAAATATATCCTTTTATTTTGCCTGGATATTATCACGTCTTTAACGTTTGCACTTTTGTTCCCTCCAATGTTTAGTGGCTCAACCAATATGGGACCAGTGGGGCCTTCACAGGCGTATAGGCACCGAAGCCCAAACCATTTTTAATAGTTTGGCTTTTGAAAGCGAGTTCTGTCCCATCCTGACCCCCCTCCCTCAGAGTCCAGTTTGGATTAAAACGCGTCCCTCGGTTCTGGGTTTCTGTAAGGCGGCGCGTCTGTGGGGTCGGGTGTGGAGGGCCCGCTGGGGGGTGTTTGGGCGCCGCTGGCACCCGAACTGTGGCACACGTACCATTCGCTCAGATTCGCCGACTGGGAGGCTCCCACCGGCTCCGACAGCACCGAGGAGCCTCCTGGCTCGCGGCCCAAGTCGGAGGAAGGGGAGACCAGGGACGGGGTGGATGACTCGTAGCCCGAACTGGGCGGGGGGGACTTGCAGTGCACCTTCATGTGTTTCCTCAGGGAGCTGGGGTGCGTGTAGGACTTGTCGCAGCCTCGCACTTTGCAGTTGTAGGGCTTGTCGCTGGTGTGGACGTGGGAGTGCTTTTTCCGGTCGCTGCTGTTGGCGAAGCGTCTGTCGCATCCGTCAAACTCACATTTGAAGGGCTTCTCACCTGTGAACAGGGACACAAAGAAACACGCGTCAATCGAATGCAGATTCAGAGACCATGTGGTATTTATTTAAATGTGTATTTAAGAGAGGGTCGTTTAACCGGGGGGGGCAGTTTGATAGTGCTTGAGATAAATATTTAATGTTTAAATAGCAACGGGCGCGTATGGGCTGGAAATAAACTAAGCAACAAGTATCCAAGTATCTGCGACCCAACTGAAAAATAAGTTGTTTTTATTAATAGTAAGGAACCATTTGCATACGTCACCTCCATCTTAAAAAAGCGTGGGTATTAGGCCGATCTGCTATGAGTGGGGTGTGAACAGGAGGGCTGAACCCCCACTGTCCTGGCTCTATACCTGGTGCATGAAGGCATACGTCAAAAGAGACAAGCTATGCGTAAAACCAATAGAAACATAATAATGCCACCAGGCCTGGCTGCTGTTTGAATCCTAACAATGGTTATGGACTGGGACTAATTTTGCATTTTAATAATAAGTATTTCTACCTGATTATGACAAGCCCCCCCCCCCCTCCAAAAAAAAAAAAATCAACAAAAAAAACAGTCTGAATAAATTATATGGAAATCATCCGCTGCTGATTTTTCTCCTCCGATTAAAGCTTTTGAGAATATGTAATTGCCTCTGTCTAATTACACTTGTGGGTTGAATATCAATTTGACCTTCAGCTGCTGGGTTGAGAGAGCCAATCAAGGATATTAGTGTAGTACAAGAAACCGTCGAGGAACAGACCCCAGGGGCAGCCCCAGTCATAACCACACTTCCAGATAGGTTTTAAACATGATACCAAAGACCAGGCCCCTTGGGAATCAACACACAGAAATAATTTAACAGATTTGTACTTAGGTAATGTGAGCAAATTATATGAATAATACATAGGGTGCAGAAATGGAGCAGAAGGGGGGGGGGGGGGGGGGGGGGGGCATGCAGCCAACGGAGGAGAGGAATGTAGTCATTGTGTTCATTTACAAGTCTGACTCAACATTTTGAGGCCTTTTTCCTCTTCACTGGCTCCACAGCCCAACAGTGTACCACAGTGGCAAGCAGCCATATTGTATCTCTATATGTTTTTTTTCCCCCCCGTTTTTATATGTGAGCTATGTTAAATCAGAACTGCCGCTTTCCGCTGCAATGCACACGTACGTCATGACAGACGCCGTCAGCTCCGCCAACCTGTTGGTGACTCGTTTTCAGCCGTCAACTTGTCAACTTGTTGCTTTGGCTAAAGGCTACCCAGAGCTGATCATTCCAGCAGCACGCATGTCATATCACTTTGGAAAATAAAGGTATTCAACTACTCGTATACATACATGTGAAATAGAATTACGCCCCCTCCCTATAGCGTTAAGTATAATGCGATATTATTGCGATCATTGGCGGGGCTGTAAGCACAGCACCGCTCGTAAACACAGCTACAAGTATCTGAAGAAAAAAAAAACCCACATCATCATCATATCAGTCACACTCAATGTGAAGATGTGTAGCCTGCATGGACAAGACCGGGCGCGGGCCTCAGTCTTTGTGCTGGGGTGTAAACAAGAGGTTCAACCGTCAAACGTCTGAGTGAGCTGTACCATAAAATCCCCAAACCCAAACCTTTGCAAAACCTGCCAGCACTGATGCATCTCCCAACAAACAGGTTCGCTGTAGCGGGCTGATGTATCAGCAGCACATATTTTGATTTATTGCCATCAGAGGGTGTTTTAAATACCGTGAATCCAAGAAAATCACATGCAAAATTGTGACAAAACGATCTAAATATTACATTTCTTATTGTTCCTGGACAACGTGTTTACATTTTTTAACATGCAATTTGATCATTAAAAAAAAAATATATATATATATAATAGTGGTACATTTCCACAACATTCCCGTTAAAATGATTAACTACTGACCTGTGTGCGTCCTTTTGTGAATCTTTAGGTTCTCGGATCTTGCGAACACTTTCCCACAGCCAGGGAAGGGGCATGGAAACGGTTTCTCCCCGGTGTGCACTCGAATGTGATTCACAAGTTTGTACTTGGCTTTAAACGGCTTGCCTTCCCTCGGACACTCTTCCCAAAAGCATATATGGTTCGCCTGCTCGGGTCCACCGACGTGCTCCACCGTCACGTGCGTTACGAGTTCGTGCATGGTGCTGTAAGTTTTGGAGCAAAGTTTCCTCGGCGATAGCTCCGGCTCCAGCCACTTGCAAATCAGCTCTTGCTTTATCGGCTGCCTCATGTAGCGGAAAAAGGCACCGGCTCCGTGGTGGTGGTGGTGGTGGTGAGCGCTGAGATTCATGTTCAGATTCAGACCGCCGTAGCCGTGCAGCGGCGAGGCGGAGAACGGATCAGCCCTGGAGCTTGCCACTTGACTCAAGTGATCAGACCTAACGTACATGTCTCCAGGTAGTCCTAACCTTATTTGTCCGTTCAACGCTTGGCCACCCGGTGATCCGCTAGAAGACTGGTCGTGGTGGAGTCCGGAGAAGAGGGTATGGTTCCCGGCGTCGGGGTGGTGACCATAGTGTCCGGGATAGCTACCTGTTGTTGAGACAAACATTCCGTGGTGAGAGGCTGAACCAGCAGTCTGGTCGGTCAGTACCGGCATGGCTTGAGCTGTCAGATCTCTCCGGATGAGGAAATCCCTACCTGCGGATAAAGCCTGGGCCGTGTGAGACATGGAATAGGGGACCGATGTCGCCTGAACCGGGCCAAAAGCTCCCGTTTGACTGGAGACCACTTCGCTGTGGCCTGCCATATGATGATTGTGGTGGTGGTGGTGATGGTGGTGGGGATAATGATGGGCTGGGCTGATTTTGAGGGCCGCGGAGTGCCCCATGTGTTCTGGCCCGAATGGACTCGGCCCCAGGCGGGGTTCCGCAGTAATCTCCCCAGGGTGCGAGTGAGCCATTGAGTGTGGATGGCTGCTGAACCCCGGGAAGCCTGTCACGCTCTGAGGGGTATGGTGGTGATGATGGTGATGGTGGTGAGCCCCTGCCAAGTCAACTAATCTCAGCGCCGTGTTCCGTTTGGAAAACGTAGGGTCCATCACGGGGCTTCCCAGTGCATCCACGCTCATTACTTCCTAATTTTAGAATAACTTGACAGCAGGCAAAATAATAATGATGATGACAAATATATTTTAATCGCAATGAAAAATAAAGAAAAAAAAAATACTTTTTAAAGTTAAGTCTATCTGCAGACTACATGGAATCCCATTCGGTTGAGAGGCAGCAGCAGGACGCTTTGATACTGAATAGAGATTCATGGTAGGCGCTGCAGCCCGTGGAGCCAAACAATCACCCTGCGCTCTAATTGGTCAGAGCTCAGTGATTGACGTCACCAGTGACAGTTTCCAACGTGAAGAAAATGTCTTAGTGACAGCAAGCAGCCAGCGCGCATGCGCAGTGCCTCGGGCAACGCTCGGGAAAAAACAGTTGTTATGCAAAGGTTTTTGTACAATAAAAGTGCTAAAAAGTTGATCCAGATATACCGTCGTCTATCATTTGTCGCAGCGAACAAAGCGTGCGAGGCTATGAAAGCGCAATTTCCCCACTTTGATTCTGCCATTACAATACAGTCTGCCTCGCTCGAGAATGCACATTGCCTCGTGTAAAAGTTGTTAGGATCATAAATAACGCACAGATTTCTATTTTACATTGCGACCAATGAAGGACAACCTCATGCGCAAATTACGCACATCCTTTACGCACGTAAAAGGTCGGCGTCAGCGGTTAACTCAACCAAAGGAAAACTCCACGTGGGAGTTTGAAAATGTCCGGAGTGTATAGCATTAACATGCGCTTTGATAAATACCCGTATTAAAATATCCAGTTGTTCCTTCAGCGCGTGCTAAAGGGTCGACTCCGTGCTCTGCGTGGTGGGATCCGTGTAAATAGTAAGCGTGAATAGGGCGAACTGCGGCCATTGTCCCGAGGGGAAAAATGGTAATGGACGGGACCTGTTGTTATGATCCGGGGTAATTTTGCTTCAGACCCGGGACGGCATAGGATGAGGCTCACAGGAGGTGGTGCCGTTGCAGCCTTAAGACCAAAATAAAACCTGTGCGTACTGTAAGTATCGGTGACTACAATAATATCTTACTATGTAAAACATTTCGTTCTCATATTGTGCTTTTTGTCTGAATGCTCAAAATAAATATTTTATATATATATGGATCGTCACAAATTTCCGTAAAAATAATCTTCTAATTATTTTTGGACATTCACTTTGTCATTTAAAACCATAAGCCGACAGACAGGACTGTTTTAAAGCCACTATAATATTTTGATTTCTCACGGACCGAACAAAAAATTGTATTGCCATAGTGATGCTTTTATAATTATCTTATTAATAACAGTGATGACTTTATTATGTAAAGTGAATTATATCTACCAGATAAGTGGGGGTGCGTGAAGCCACCTTATAGAAGGTCACATTATCACTTTGGTGTGAATGCTAAACGTGTTTATGAGTTATTTGACTTCTGATGTGGTCATTTGTGTAAATGCCTTGTCACTATCTTAACCTTAGACTTATTTTTCTTTGATCTGCAAATAATATTTCTTCTTCTGGGATGACTGAATTTGTCGTTTTCACATTTAAAAAAAGTAATTAATTGAAAACAAATATTTTTTCAAATCCTATACCCCCTGGTTACGATTGACTTGTCCAAATCCTTGCTTTGTCCAGCACTTTAGAAATGGAGTCAATATTTCGGGACGGGGTGGATCCAAAACGTGTTTATTAAATGGCCTTTACGCATGGGACTCATGAGCCTCACATCTGCCGTCACAGGCATTACAGCACCCGCGTACTTCACAACTTTGAAGTGCTATTTCTGGTCCAAGTTGTGCACGAGCCCACTCTTGGAGACCAGAAGCAGGGGAGTTTTATAAGATACCAAACCCCCAAAAAGTTCTGTAATGTAGCAAAGTCTCCTAAAATGCGTTTTTTAAAACCTGAGCATGCTCTGACGTAGAGTTTATTGCAAATGGCTCAATGTAGCCGTTTTAGAATCTCTGGTTTGCATAGGAGCATATTAGGATTATGCCACTAAACGGTTAATCGCCTGTGAATAAAGATGCATCTTTTACGCATGTGGCTAAATAGTCATATCGGTCTTCATAGAGGCAAGTGGCACTGGCCGTTTAAATCCACCAAGGTATGTATAATTCCAACAACTCTTTTCCTTACACACACACATCCACTCTTGATGTTTTTTTTTAATGATATGCAAATCTTACCGTTTCCACCTGTGGAAAGGTTCCTCCATATTTAAAATATCACATGTTAAGATGATAACAACATAACGTCCCCTCTCAGTCTCCCAAGACTGACCTGGAAACCCTCGAAGAAACCTAGCACAGCAGCCAAGAGGATATTTTAATGGTCCGCATGGCAAGTCTGTGCGTGTGGCTTTGAACTCCAGCGGCCGGAGGCTCACGCAGAGAGCGCCGCAAATCCCACTTGATAACTTCGACAACCCACAAGGTTTTACAAATATGCATGCATGGCCTGCAGAAGAAAAAGAGGCACAGCCAAACCGTGATGGATACATTAGGCATACCAGTGGATCCAAGTTAAATACTGGCCTATGTATCCAAGGTAACCTTTATGGACGTGCTGGTTAACATGACGATGTGGGGAACTAACGCACAGATGTTCCACTGGTGTGAGCTCCAGTGGATGCCGGAAACGTTGTGTGCAAGGGAGAAAGAACCGGCGCGCCAGAGGCACATAACACGGCGTTGTGTGACACTGCGAGGTAAGAAGGGATGAGTTGATAATAACCCAATAAAAGTACTTTAAAGAGAGCGATGGGAGTGGGCAGATTTCATATCCGACCGTGAGCTTTCCAATGGGCTCCCGAGAAAAAGACGTAAGTTAAACTCGTGTCTCCGTAAACCTGCACCTGACGCACGACACGACACGAGGGTCTCGGTTCGATTACCAATACGGCGGTTTAATTGAAGTCTTGTTCTATAATCGGTTCTCCTGACATTGTAAGCTTGTATCTCCAGATAGATAACACACGCACACACACACACACACACACACACACACACACACACACACACACACACACACACACACACACACACACACACACACACACACACACACACACACTCAACGCACATGCATATGCACGCGCACAAACAGACACGTACGGATGGGATACATAGCAATATACACGTTGGCATAACGTATGGGTGTAACAAAGACATCAATACACATGTGCTTCATAATTCAAGGTTTATAATAAAAAGCTTTATATGTGTGCAAAACGTACTTGGACTTTCCACGAGGCCAGTTGTCGCCTTCTACAGCGCAACTTTGGTTTTGTTGTTATTCTGCCTTTTAACCAAATCCACAGTCAGCAATCTTACAATATCTGGGATTGATGATGCAAAGAGGCCAATAGAAGTGTGGGCCCTGCATCGTGGATTGTTATTTGGCGAGTGGATGTTATTGGGGGGAAAGGTGCTCCGCCAATGAGCGCGCAGCTCGGAGGCCACATGACCACCCCCCTCCTCTCCCATTCATCAGGGCTGGACTGTGTTGTCTTTTCAATTCATTTATCTGCAGGAATGATTGCGACTATCAGTCTAGAGCTCACCGCCTGACTGAGGAGGTGAAAGTCGCGCCACAGGAAGATAAACCGCAAAAGACAATATTGCATGTATACATGATTTTGCGCGTGCATCGGATGAGCGGTATAGGGGAATTCCTCGCGTCCTAGAAAGTAAACAGAAAATCGGTGGATTGGAGAATTTGCTCAGCCGAGTGAGGTCCAAGAGATAGCGCGAGGGGGAGGAAGAATATCTGCGCGTGATTTTTTGATTTTTGCTCTCAGTCGTCTCGGCGAGTCTAGACTGAAGATGCTCTTGGACGCAGGACCGCAGTATCCCACCATAGGAGTCACTACTTTCGGCTCCTCACGGCATCACTCAACAGGCGAAGTCACAGAGAGAGAAGTAGCGTTGGGGATCAATCCGTTCGCGGATGGGATGGGCGCCTTCAAAATAAACCACAGCTCCCACGACATCGGCTCCGGACAAACGGCGTTTTCCTCTCAGGCGCCCGGCTACGCAGCGGCCGCCCTGGGACACCATCACCACCCGACCCACGTTGGCTCTTACTCCACGGCGGCTTTCAACTCCACCAGGGACTTTCTCTTCAGAAATCGGGGTTTCGGGGACGCCACCGGGGCGCAGCACAGTTTGTTCGCCTCCGGGAGTTTCGCAGGGCCACATGGACACTCGGATGCAGCGGGGCACCTGCTCTTCCCGGGACTCCACGAGCAAGCGGCGAGCCATGCGTCTTCCAACGTGGTCAACAGCCAGATGCGGCTGGGCTTCTCGGGGGACATGTACGGGCGGGCCGACCAGTACGGCCACGTTACAAGCCCGCGGTCCGACCACTACGCATCGACCCAGCTGCACGGCTACGGCCCCATGAACATGAATATGGCCGCGCACCACGGAGCGGGGGCCTTCTTTCGATACATGAGGCAGCCGATCAAGCAAGAGCTCATCTGCAAGTGGATCGAGCCGGAGCAGCTGACGAATCCCAAAAAGTCGTGCAACAAAACTTTTAGCACGATGCACGAGCTCGTGACCCATCTGACGGTGGAGCATGTGGGGGGACCAGAGCAGACCAACCACATCTGCTTCTGGGAGGAATGCGCCCGAGAAGGAAAGCCGTTCAAAGCCAAATACAAACTTGTGAACCATATCAGAGTACACACCGGAGAAAAGCCCTTCCCGTGTCCGTTCCCCGGCTGTGGCAAAGTATTCGCTCGATCGGAAAATCTAAAAATTCACAAAAGGACTCATACCGGTAAGATCCGCTCAGATTACGCGCTTTTTTTTTACTGCCAAATCCATGTTGACAATATTGAGTCCAAAATATACTTGCGATCTGGATTGTTTTATTTGGCAGCTGGACTTTCTTTACTGGCATGTGATTCAGTGCGCTTGTCAACAGACATTTTCCCCAAATTGTATTTTTTAAGTATTACCATTTTCTGCTAAACATGTGCAAATTTAATGAAATAATGCATGGCTTAATAACATTTATTTTTAGTGCCTTTTTAGTGCCTAAATATAATCTGTGTGTCAGTCAAATATTTAAGTGAAACAGGCTGCCTTTTCCATACCAATAATCTGTTTCCTCAGAGAACAAAAAATCGTTAAATACAATAATGTGTGATATGTCATTTTGAGATCCAGTGTTAAACAATGTATGTATTCCTTTTTTTTTTATTTAGGTGAGAAGCCCTTTAAGTGTGAGTTTGAAGGCTGCGACAGGCGATTTGCAAACAGCAGTGACCGCAAGAAACACATGCACGT